CGCGCCTGCCCCGGGACGGCCCAGTCCCGGCTTTTGGGGGGGGGGGGGCAAGGAAAGATGGAAAAAGGGTTTACCCTGTAATTGGGGGAGTCTCTCCAGGGATGGGGAGACTCCCCCAATTCCAGCACTGTCCGAGGCTGGGGACTGCCCCCCTTACCTGCGTGGGGGCCTCGGCCGCAGTGGGGAAGCGCAGCTGCCGCTCCAGCCTCTCCTCCGCCTTCTGCCGCTTCAGCTCCGTCTCGTGGGCCTGGAGCAGCAGTGTCTGGGGGGAGGACAGAGGTGGGGGTCAGGACCCAGCCCCCCCATGGCTGGAGGACCTGGGACCCCCACTATGGAGCCCAACCTCCCCCAAACGCATCCCAGAGCCCCCCCCACCCCATATCTCCATGGTGTATGAGGCTGCCCCCCTTCCCGTAATACACTGGGGCCCACCCTTCCTTCCCAGCAGGCCTGGCACCATAGCTCCTACCTGGTGGGCCTGGAAGCTGGGGTTGTAGGAGGCTCCAGGGGCCACGACCTCGACGGCCGGCAGCGTCGACGGCTTCTTGCGCAGCCTGGCAGGACGCTGGGGGGGCACGTGGGGGGGCTGGGGTCAAGCCCTGCCCCCCCTAACCACCCCCGGAGCGCACAGACCTCCAGAGCAGCTCAGCTATGGGGTCAACCATGCCCCTAACCGAGCTCCCAAGGAGTTGCCCCCCTGAACCCACCATGGGATTAATCCCCCCCAACACCCACCTTGACCCTCAGCTTCTTGGTCTGCTCCAGAAACCAGGGCTCCTGCCCCTCCACGGCGCTGTCCAGGGGGTCTGCGGAGGGAGCCGGAGGGTCAGCAGGGGCCGGGGCAGCAGCTTCACTCCCGTAGCAAGCTTGCCGGGTCTCGGGCAAGCCCCCAGCGGGCCGTGCCTGCTCCCCCAGAAATTGGGGAGAACCCGGGGTCTGGTCTCCCCGGCCCCCCGAGTGCAGCACCAGACCCTCCCCCCTGCCAGGAAGAAGGGAAAGGACCCCGG